TACACTCATTTTTTTTTTCTCTCAATCGAATCTAGGCTTGGGTTTAGAAACTAACGACGGAAGACGTGGAGAGAATGACGATGTTGAATGTAATCCTACCCTTGAAGCTTTTGAACTAGTAATGAGTAAACAATATAAATTCCAAACTTTCTCTATGGCAGAAATCTGAACTACCACTTTATATATATATATATATCATAACTCTCTACTGCTCTAATCAACCACAATTTCTCACTATGAGTGTCCACAAACCACTTTCTAAACACAAATTAAACTTAGCCCATCAATTTCACTTGACAATACACCAATTTCTTTTAATGAAAACACAAACTAAGGAAAAAAGGTTTTTTCAATTTCTAGGTTTTATAACTTTAGATTCATTTTTTGGATTTCTTCTTCTTATTATTATTATTATTATTATTTTGGAACAATGATTTCATGCATCTAAAGCAAGAAACTTGAGGGCATTATGGAAATTTTAGTATTTATCTTGGATGACATCAACAACTTATGTTAGTTGCTTGAAGGGCCGTCAAAAAATGGGCAAATCTTGATATTGTCAGTTAAAGTAAGGGAGGTTTTTATAATTATTAAAATTACAGGAGAGATCCCTCTATTTATCAGAAATCTCAAAAAAGAGGTAAGTGTAATTAGGGGTGTGCATAATACTGCCAAAACCGCACCGAACCGCACTGCCAAGGCAAATTCGTTATTATTTGTCAATCGAACCGCCGATTTTTGGTAAGAAAAATGGCAAATTCTACGAAGAGCAGCAACAATGACCCTTACAGCATTATGTGTTTTATTACCAGATCTGAGATGACACTGTTGGGTTCTTCGAGATGAAACAATGAAAACAAACCTAAATCAGATAACCAAACTCGTGGTGTTGATCAGAAGCCCTTTTCGATTTTGACTCAAGAAAACAAACCCAAATCTAATTTTAATTGGTAAAATTTGATTTCTTCTTCTAATTTCTTTGCTCTGTGATAGAGTCACTATGTTCATCCTCTTCACTACACTCATTTTTTTTTTCTCTCAATCGAATCTAGGCTTGGGTTTAGAAACTAACGACGGAAGACGTGGAGAGAATGACGATGTTGAATGTAATCCTACCCTTGAAGCTTTTGAACTAGTAATGAGTAAACAATATAAATTCCAAACTTTCTCTATGGCAGAAATTTGAACTACCACTTTATATATATATATATATATATCATAACTCTCTACTGCTCTAATCAACCACAATTTCTCACTATGAGTATCCACAAACCACTCTCTAAACACAAATTAAACTTAACCCATCAATTTCACTTGACAATACACCAATTTCTTTTAATGAAAACATAAACTAAGGAAAAAAGGTTTTTTCAATTTCTAGGTTTTATAACTTTAGATTCATTTTTTGGATTTATTATTATTATTATTATTATTATTATTATTTTGGAACAATGATTTCATACATCTAAACCAAGACACTTGAGGGCATTATAGAAATTTCAGTATTTATCTTGGATGACATCAACAACTTATGCTAGTTGCTTGAAGGGCCGTCAAAAAATGGGTAAATCTTGATATTGTCAGTTAAAGTAAGGGAGGTTTCTATAATTATTAAAATTTCAGGAGAGATCCCTATTTGTCAGAAATCTCAAAAAAGAGGTAAGTGTAATTTACCCTATCATTTAATTTAGACTGTGAACTTACACATAGATATATATGTTATAGAAGGGTAAAACAATATTATTAAAGCGAATTTGCATCAGTCATAATAGAAGAAACAACGATGATGGAATATCTTCCATCCAAACACGCGGTCTAATACAAATAAAACCAATCTACTCAAAGAATGAGCCACAGAATTAGCCTCCCGAAAAACATGGCTTACCAAAGACTATCTAAATCCCTTCAACAAATCATGTGTAGCAAGAGCAAGATGACCAAACCAGATAACGCTTGCCCAGGATCTTGAATCGCGGTGATCACAATTGTGGAATCATCCTCAAGAAAAATACCATGTAAGCACAAATCTCTCGCAAATTGCACCGCACGCAAATGAGCCAAAGCTTCCACACATGCAACATCATCCCAGAAATGAATCCCCTCAGACATAGCAGCCACAACTTGTCCCTTAAAGTTTCGCTCAATGACCCTGACGCCAGCCGCTTGATCCATTTCCTTCATCGAACCATCAAAGTTGATCTTGTAAACACCCTCACAAGGCCCACTCCACCGCCCCTAACGCCGACAAGGGATAGGCACAGAAGAGACATGCACAACCCGTTTATATTCTTGAAGAAATTCACCGGCATATCGAGTAACTTCGTCCGCACTTCGGTGACTGTGAACTTATATTGATTGAATCGAATCTTTATTTTTTTTTTAACTTTCTAAGAGTTAAAATTAATTGAGAACCTTTCAACTATTTTAAAATTTGAGGGTGCATTGAATTTTTTTCTCTCTGTGTCTCCTATTTCTATCTTTGCGTATATCTTGTTCATATGTGTATATGTTTGATGAGTCTGGACCGGCCCAGGTTGGGTTACGTCGCCCACTTAGAAATGGCCGGCTGAGATCTGCTCGTTTAAAAAGAAAATCCAAAATTTTTCCATCAATGTTCAACAAGAGTATATCGATTTCGGTCTCCGATGAAGAGTCCGACGATCTCGCCGGAAAGATCCGAGTCCGTAGAAAGCGAAAGAAATCGGTGTTCCGAGGCAAGAACGAGTTGGCTCAGCGATTAGTCAGGAAGCTAATGAGATGGTGGCCCGTCTTGCTCTTCCTTCTCCCCGCCGGACTCCTCATTTTGGAGGCCTCCAGAATTGGCCGCAAACCGAGTCCAGTGCTCGACTCGGGACTCGCTTCTCAGAAGGAACCAAAACTTGTTGTGGAAAAGAAATCGGAAGCGAACTTGAATCGCAGCAAATCGAGTCCAGTGCTCGACTCGGGACTCGCTTCACAGAAGGAACCAAAACCTGCTGTGGAAAAGAAATCGGAAGCGAACTTGAATCGCCTCAATCCGACTACTCGGGTTATCAGAGGCATCAGACAACGTAAGTCCCTCTCAGAATCTTGAAAATTTGTTTGCTCATGCATGCATCTACTTGTTTGTTTAGGTATGCACTTGAGCAATGGCTTTAAAAATGACTGGTTTGATTCTTAGTTTCAGTTGCTAAATGCTTGATTGGTATGTTGAAACAAAACTTCTAGAATTCCCTTTGTATTGATGCATGTTCTCAGTTGATTGACACGATGGAGAAGAAGTTTTCTTCCTTTATTACCGTTACAAAAAGGAGACACGGTCCCTCCAATTTCCACAACTGACTTTCCCACCACCTTCTTATAATAATTTTTTTTTTATTTTTTACTAGCTTTCTTTTAATTATCAATTGTTGCAAATATTATTATCAAATGAACTTGTTAAATATTTGAAATTGTTATATAAGAGCATCTCTATCCAAATTTTCAAAATTTAATATTTCAATTTTTTTTTGAAAGCTTGGGTTGTAAATTTGACATAGAAATTCTCCACTCGATATGTCAAATATATTATTCTATTATTTTTTAAATTTAAAATCTTTTATTTTACATAGAAACTCTTTTAATTTGATAAAAAAAAAAAGGCGTAAAGTGGGAGCATGTCAAAAGTCATGTAAGCTTTTAGCACTTCGGTTGGAGCTGACTCTTGCCATCAAAATAGAACTATTGTACTGTCATGTTATAATTGACATATCGATGCCCAAATACTTATTTTCAACCATTTTATTTTATTGGGATACATGATTCCTCCCACCCTCCTAAATAACGAATTAATTAGTAATATCTACATAGGTGGTGATGTAAGTTTTTCTCAAATTTGAATTATCTAAACAAAAAATTTGAGAATTAAAACCAAAATTGATGGAGATGCCCAAGTCAAATCTTTTATAGTCAACAAGTATTTTACTAATCTTTTGCTTAATTTGATACATACTTTTTTTTATCAAAAGAAAAGTATTTTGCTAGTGTTTTGCACAATTTACTACAAATTTTCCTTCTCTACACAACAAATTAGTAGTGGTGGTAAATGATCTTACAATTTTGAGTTGTCAATAATAACTACAAACAAACTCTGAGCTGATTTACATACTATCTATATATCTTGGAAACTGACAGCTACAGAATCAAAAATCTCTACCAGTATTTTGGTGTCATTTTCTTCATCTTGTTTTTTCATCATCACTTGTTATGATTACAACTGAAGAGAAAAAAAAAAAAAAAAAGACCTTTTTATCAGTTGGTTCTCTTTTTTATCAGTAGTGAAGATGTGGTCCAATAAATAGGGGTGGATATCGGCCCGTTGACTAGTCCGTCTGCTTAGCTCACTTATATTTTTTTAGGGCTTGGGACAGTTATTTTAACCTATAGGGTTGGGTTGGGATAACATTTTTAGCCTGTAATATTAGTGAGTTAAGTTTAAGATTTATACTTTCAACGCAGCTTGACTCGACCCGATAATTATTTATTTATAATACATTAAAATATATATATATATTGGGATATACACTTTATTTTTATTGATTTTATTGAAACCCATACTTATGATGATGTGTGATTAAATTTATTTAATTTTTTTTGCAATTTATATATAATATCTTTCAATTTATAATGATATCAGTATATTTATTTAAGAAATATAACGTAACTAAATTTAATATGGAATGTTTTAATTTTTTTTTTTTTTAAGATATAGCTTAATGGATGTGTTTAAAATTTATAATTATTTTTTAGATCAAACTTGGACATATCAAGAAATTTGATGTTAGAACTAAGCTGAATGTAACCAAATACAAAATCTCTTATCATATAGTATCAGCTTGATTCGACGTTTGTCCACCCCTACCAATGGTGGCAGAGTTGGGCTTTCCTAGTAACACAAGGGTAACTTGGTCATTCAAAAATCAAAACAACGGCCAACCCCCGTCTCTCTCTCTCTCTCTCTCTCGGTTGATGCATATCCATTTACTCTTATGAATGTTATATATAAATCTCCTAATGAAAGAAACAGATCCGACGAAAGAGGAACAAACAAAAGAAATACACAAAAACGAAAACGAAAACGAAAACAAAAAATGGGTTGTTTACGTTCTCTCTCTCAAACTTTAACTCCCATCTCTCTCCTCTTCTTCTCTCTCCTGTCGATTGCCAACTTCGCTGCAGCGTTTAACCTGTCGACAATCACCTTCAACCAGGGCTACTCACCTCTCTTCAGCGACTTCAACATCATTCGATCCGACGATGACAAGAGCGTCTCTCTCCTCCTCAACCGTCTCTCCGGTATCCCCTCTCTCTCCCTATATTATTTTTATTTTTAATATTTTCGTGTTTTTAGAAACAAAAACAATGAAAATTTTGAAAACCCATATCTTTTTCATGCCTTTTCATTTTTGTTAAAAAACAAAAATCAGACGAATTAAAAATAAGTGTTTTTTTTTTTTTAATCAGCAAAGAAGAAAATTATATTGAAAAACGAAAAAAATGTTTTCTTAAAAAATAGTTTGTGAAATAAGTTAAACTCATTGTTTTTTGAGGTTTACTTTTATTTGTTCCTCAGGCTCTGGTTTTATTTCCTCGGACTACTACAATTATGGTCTCTTCAGTGCAAACATCAAGTTGCCATCGAATTACTCTGCTGGCATCGTCGTCGCATTTTATGTAAGTAATATTGATTTTACACCCCAAAAAAAAAGTTTGCGTATGTATGTGCATAGAATAATTTTATTATTAGAATCAACGATATATTAATTATTTTTATTTTTCAAACAAGTAATTAATTACAAGCATTCAAGTAGACTGATAGAATTGATAAATATTCATCAACAATGCTTGGTAATCGAAATTTTTATGGACTAAATGACTCGAATATCTCAAAACGATGTCATTTTAGGGGTAAAAAGATATCATCGTTTTGATATATTTGAGCCACATAAATTCAAGTTAGCAAGCATTTTTCAATGTCCATTTGTGTGTGTCCTGGAAGTGCCCTTGATTGATCAAAATGGAACATTCTTTTTTGCCATACAAAATAATTGCTAATAAAAGTATCTTATGCATGCATGTTATTAATTTCTTATAAAACTTCTTACAATGAATTGATGCTATAATAAGGGGGAAAAAAACAAGTTACATTATTTTTCCAAACCTCAAATTCCATCACTAACAATCATTTGAAAAAAAAAAAATTAAAAAAACAAAAAAAACCAATTGTAACATCAATCCATGCAAAAACATTGTTTGCCATAATTGTTTTATAATCATATTGGTTCCCATATATGTTGAAAAACGAAAAAAAAAAATTTTTAAAAAATAGTTTGTGAAATAAGTTAAACTCATTGTTTTTTGAGGTTTACTTTTATTTGTTCCTCAGGCTCTGGTTTTATTTCCTCGGACTACTACAATTATGGTCTCTTCAGTGCAAACATCAAGTTGCCATCGAATTACTCTGCTGGCATCGTCGTCGCATTTTATGTAAGTTATATTGATTTTACACCCCCAAAAAAAAGTTTGCGTATGTATGTGCATGGAATAATTTTATTATTAGAATCAACGATATATTAATTATTTTTATTTTTCAAACAAGTAATTAATTACAAGCATTCAAGTAGACTCATAGAATTGATATATGTTCATCAACAATGCTTGGTAATCGGAATTTTTATAGACCGAATGACTTGAATATTTCAAAACGATGTCATTTTGAAGTAAAAAGATATCATCGTTTTGATACATTTGAGGCACACAAATTCGAGTTACCAAGCATTTTTCAATGTTCATTTGTGCGTGTCATGGAAGTGCCCTTGATTGATCAAAATGGAACATTCTTTTTGGCCAAACAAAATAATTGCTTATAAAAGTATCTTATGCATGCGTGTTATTAATTTCTTATAAAAGTTCTTACAATGAATTGATGCTATAATAAGGGGGAAAAAAACAAGTTACATTATTTTTCCAAACCTCAAATTCCATCACTAACAATCATTTGAAAAAAAAAAAATTAAAAAAACAAAAAAAACCAATTGTAACATCAATCCATGCAAAAACATTGTTTGCCATAATTGTTTTATAATCATATTGGTTCCCATATATGATTAACGTTATTGATAATTTATTGTCATCGTTCCATATTTTCGACATAGATGTCAAATGGAGACGTATTTGAGAAAACCCATGATGAATTAGACTTCGAGTTCTTAGGAAACATCCATGGAAGACCATGGAGGTTCCAGACGAACTTGTATGGAAATGGAAGCATACACCGTGGCAGAGAAGAGAGGTATACTCTGTGGTTCGATCCGGCCAAGGAGTTTCATCGATACACCATTCTTTGGACCTCCAAAAATATCATGTAAGCATATCATCTGATTTTCCCTTTAATTTTCGTTTCTCTTTTCCTAGAAAGTTTTGAGTAGTCTTTAATGTGCTAATCCTAAACGTGCCGTGTTTAGCCACTTTGTTGTGTGCACTTTTTGACCTAACACAAAAGTGAGATAGACCTTCTCACGCATATTAGATTCTTACATTTGTGAATTGAATTTCAACCACAAGCAAATTTTTGGTTCTTGTGTGCTTTTAAAACAGATAGGCTCTGTTTGGAAGTGCTGTTTGGTTGTAAAAAATATTTCCAAAATTTAAAAAAAAAAAATTATGAGTTTTGAATGGGATTTTGGGTTGTGTGTTTGGTTATGAATTGTAAGTTTTTGAATTAAATATCATATGTTACATCATTCATTTCAAACTCAATTCAAAACTATTTTTCAAACTCATGACTAAACAAATTTTTCATACTCAAATCATAATTCCAAAACTCATAAACTCAAAATACAACTCCTATTTTCAAATTATATTTAAAACCCTACCAAACCCCCTACCATAGATTTTTATTTGTTATTTTGTTTTTAAATGTGTGGATCATATGGCAATTTTTGTTTATTACACAAACAAATTTATGTGTAAAATTTTTATACAAAATTATGTGGTACCTATGTCCATATTTTAATACCAATTAAAACCCTCGTTATTATGATCCATAATTTCAAATTTATTAATGTCACATCATCTTGATCAAATCATAATTCCAAAACTCATAAATTCAAAATACAACTCCTATTTTCAAATTATATTTAAAACCCTACCAAACCCCCTACCATAGATTTTTATTTGTTATTTTGTTTTTAAATGTGTGGATCATATGGCAATTTTTGTTTATTACACAAACAAATTTATGTATAAAATTTTTATACAAAATTAAAACCCTCGTTATTATGATCCATAATTTCAAATTTATTACTGTCACATCATCTTGAACGAGGTTTATTTTTAAAAGTTTGGTTTATTTATACCACATTTTGTCGTAGTATTTTTTTTTTTTTTTTTTTTTTTTGACAACAACGCAAACTCATTAATTTTAAAGAAGTTACAATTTTTGTAAAGAGTTTTTATATGGAATAATGTGCCATTTATGGTCATTTCATTAGAAATCAAAACACGTACCATTATAGTTTATAATTTCAAAAATTTTACAATCTTAGATGTGTTTCTATATAAAATGTCAGTTTGTACATTATTTTCTTTATAAAGAAACAATACGACTTTGATGGTTTTTAATATTTTTGATAGATTTGTAACTAAAACAATTTATACTCAATAATTGTGAAGAATTTACAATATGGACCACAAAACAATTTGCCTAAAATTAATCATTATACAAATTACAATATGATAGGTGTTGGACCACCTTGAAGGAAATTGTACTCCTCATGCCATTATGAAGCATGGAAGAACATTCACTAAGATGGAAAGATACTTTATAACCTTTGTAAGATTAGTACACCACTGACAATGATTGTTGCCCTAACATTGAGTTTTTTTTTTATAAATGTTCTAAAAAATCAAATTATATATCAAAGTAACCTATTTTTTAAACTATTTATCAAACTAATCTATTTAAAAAAAAATAAAAGTTCAAAATGCAAGTTCATTATGAAATTATATGTTCAAAATGCAATTTGATGACAAAATCATATCTTCATAGTGACTTGACTAATTGATGTATAAATATGAAATTACGTATTTAAAATACAATTTCACCAAGAAATCGTATTTTGAACCTGTGATTTTAAAAAATAAGTTAGTTTGATAAATAATTTAAAAAGCTGATTATGTACATAAATACTTTATTTTTTTGAAATATTCACCCAAAAAAAAAATTTCTCCCCTAACATCACCTAATTATGGCATTCTTTATCATATAACTAGCTTTAGAATAAAACAACCCATAAAATTACCACTTTTGTGAATTTTGCTAGTTTGTGCAACTATGGCTATCTAGGCAAGCATAGCATGTTTAGTGTGCCAGCTTGGTCTGATAAGGCCTAGCTAGTGCTGTGACAAAAGAAATGATTGTATCAGTTAGGCAGAGGCATAACAGTGACGAAATAGCCAACTCAACTAAGATAGAGGAAAATCGTCCGAATGGGTAAGGATTCTCACTAGTTGTTTGGAGGTGGTCATTTTAATGATTCGAATTTATAGAACTTGTTAGAATGATTGTTCTTATAGAAAGTTAAATTAAACTAACTAGACATATTATTAGATTATATTTATCTTTAAATTAATGAATAATTTATTTTTAAAAATTACATTTGTTCCTTTATTTGTAACAAATTGTCGAATTTGTGAAGACAATTTTATTGATAAGTCTTATAATATGAGTGATTTAAATGATTAAAACGGGCCTTAATAACACTTTCAGTTGGTTGTCAATTGGATAGAAATCTTTTTCAAAAAGTAACCAAGTGGCCATTCCTCCTACCCAACACCATCTCCTGGTCCTGGAAATCCATGCAAATGCAAAATTCAATTCCTAAGTCCCTTTTCTTTTTTCTTTTTTTTTTGGTAATTTACAAATACAATATCTGAGATTTACTTAAATTACATATTATCCCTTATAATTTTAGAAATTATATTATGTCCCCCAAGGTTTCTAATTTCGTAACAAATAGGTTCTTTTATTAATTTATCATCAAGTTAATTAATAGATTTTAATAATGTTAAAATTTTATTTCAATTAATAATTCAGATAATTTTATAATTGTATAGGTGAATAGTTAAAAATTTCACTTTTTCAATCTTTTTCAAAAAGTAACCAAGTGGCCATTCCTCCTACCCAACACCATCTCCTGGTCCTGGAAATCCATGCAAATGCAAAATTCAATTCCTATGTCCCTTTTCTTTTCTTTTTTTTTTTTGGTAAATTACAAACACATTCTCTGAGATTTACTTAAATTACATATTATTCCTTGTAATTTTAGAAATTATATTATGTCCCCTAAGGTTTCTAATTTCGTAACAAATAGGTTCTTTAATTAATTAATCATCAAGTTAATTAATAGATTTTAATAATGTTAAAATTTTATTTCAATTAATAATTCAGATAATTTTATAATTGTATAGGTGAACAGTTAAAAATTTCACTTTTTCAATTAATTCTGTCAAATAAAAAATTCTTTTAGGGAGGTATTTATAATTTTTCAAACTACAGAGAAAAATTCGTATTTTAAGCAAATCTAAAAAAGTGTATTTGTAATTTAGCTTCTTTTTTTTTTTTTTTTTTTTGGTTTTTTGGATCAGTAAAAGTTTTCATTAATGTAAATATTATCAAACGACACCTAAAATTCGAAGTCATTGTTCCAACTACTTAAAATGCAGTGTTTGGTTTAGTCAATTGAGAGAGAAATAGAATAGTCATTAGACTGTTTACTCTGTTGTTTAGTTTGTAAAGAATAAATGAATTTATATTGAAAATAGAAATCTCATAATTCATCAATTTAAAAGAATGGCATTCCATAAGGATGTTACTGAAAATTATTTTAATGAATCAAACATTACCTTAGAAAATCTCCAATCCTTAACTCACATGTATCATATTTAAATTTGAATAAAAATCTCTTAAAAACCATTCATTCTTTGATCCGAGCATACACCAAATTGAGAGTTTTACCCAAATCAAAGAAGGGATTCAAATATTTATTCAAAACTACTTTGTGACTTCAAATTTATTAATCTCCATTAGTAAAACTTTTACTTAAATATGAGTTTTTCCACAATTGAAATGGTTCATATCAAATAAAATTTTTATTCAAATTTTATAATGTGGGCCCAGAGATAACCTTGGTAAGTTAGCTGCCAATTTTGAATGGTTCGAGTTTTTGTGTATTTTAATCTATTAGAGTATCTTCAACCTTGACCAATTTTTTCGTCAAATTTTATTTCAAATTTAAATAAAAAACTTGATTTGGTATGAATTATTTCATCAATTTTCTTTTTTTAAAAAAAAATTTCCTCTTATCCCAAATTTTCCTCTTCATCAAAATTGATAATAAAAAAACAAAAAATAAAAAATCCCCGTTGCTTCATTATTCTCAATTTAATGAAAACAATGACTCAATTGGAGATGATTTTCAAGTGCTTTTTCATAAATTTAAATTTGATGGAGGAAAAAGTGAATTATTAAAGATACTCTTATGACTGAAATTGCTTGCACTGTTTTCCTTCTTTAATTTTTCTGTGTTTCTCAACATTCAGATTCTATGTTGATGATGTCCCAATAAGAGAGGTGGTCCGCAGCAAAGCCATGGGAGCAGACTACCCATCCAAGCCAATGTCCCTCTACGCCACCATCTGGGACGCCTCCACCTGGGCCACCAACGGCGGCAAATACAAAGTCAACTACCGCTTCCAGCCCTTCGTCTCTGAATTCAAGGACCTCGTCCTCCAGGGCTGCCCCGTCGACCCCATCCAACATCTCCATGCCCCCCACTGCGACAACTCCACTGCCGCCCTCGAATCCGCCGACTTCTCCAACATCACCGCCGAGGGCAGCAAATCCATGAGCAGGTTCCGCGAAAGGTACATGTATTACTCATATTGTTACGATACCGTGCGGTACCCCATGCCACCCCCGGAGTGCATAATCGTCCCATCCGAGCAGCATCTGTTTAAGGAGACCGGGAAGTTGAAGGATGCATTGAAGATGAAGTTTGGCCGCCACCCGACTCACCGCCGCCGCCGCAGCAGAGGCTCAAAGCGGAAGAGCCAGGTCCCAGTTGCTCAAGCTGGCCAGGCTGCTTCTGATATGTGATGATGATGGTGTGTATGAAATACTTGTATGTGAATGTTAATAGTGGCGGTTCTTTTGTTTTATAATTGTTATTAATTATGTGGTAAGGAATTATGTATGATTGGTGATTGGTAATTGAACTATCAAATTTTTGAAAGAACACAAACTATGAAACAACAAATCAACTTCAATTTCTACTACCATTTGTCTCTAATTACAAAGAATGTGTATGTATAACACCTCCCCCAACTATGAACATCCAAATTTAAATAAAAATCAAATGAATAACAACCAATGTCAATGCATCCATTACACTCTCTCAAGGTGCTCTCATGCATTTTCCTTACAAGTTGCTAGAGAAAAAACAGCAAAAGAATCGATGAACAAGATTACCTTGAGAGACGAAAAAAAATCACGGGAATGTGAATGATCCACCAATTTGAGTAGTACCCGATGGTGGGCTGATCGCAATCCAGAGCAGCGAAATCGTGATTGCAATGAGTCCTGACCAAACAAACACAATCGTAGGTGTCCTTCCCCGTCTTCCCATAAGCCCTTTAGCAAAGGGATAGAGATGAGCCAATACCCAGAAACTGAAGAACACCCCTCCTATCAGTCGGCTCCACTGCGGTAACGTGCTATATAGTGTCCGGCTAAACCCAACTGCTATTGCGATCAAGTTAGTTATCATAATTGTGATTGGAGGTATCATTAGGGAAGACCATTTGATGATGTAGAGATCGGCAAATTCATCATCGGCGTCATCACCGCCAGACTTCGATGTCAATGTAAACGATATCTCAATCCCAGCAACCACCTTGAGTAGGCCTTGAATGACAGCAGCGAGATGGGCACTCGTGCCTCCAATTAACCAGAATTGCTCATTTCGCCACCAGTCTTCAAGTGGAATGCCAGACCACTTAATCTCAAGCACCGCGAGCATGCAAAGTGTCAATGTGATGATCAGGAGGTAAGTGAGGAAGGCAACATTGAGGCTCTGGACGATGAATTGACCTGAGAAGAGGGAAAGTGCCGGGAGGAAGCAGTATACAATGAGAAAAATGGAGGTGAACGGGTAGATACCGACGTTGAGGTAAGCAATCCTTTGCAATAATTTCATTTTGGGACTTGCCAGAAGAGCATTGTTGCGAGAGAAGAAAATCTCAACAGAACCGGTGGCCCACCGGAGGACCTGGTGAAGCCGATCAGTCAGGTTAATGGGTGCCGTCCCACGGAAGGCATCCCTTTTGGTGACACAATAAACCGATTTCCAACCCCGATTGTGCATTCGATACCCGGTCACCACATCTTCAGTTACAGATCCATAAATCCACCCTACTCGAATGCCCCATTCGGTTTTATCTTCGTACCAACAAGAGATTACACTGATTGCTTCGGCAACAGTAGATGCATCGAGAAGCTCCCGAGGAACAGTAAGAGCACCTGGAGGTCGTCCATTCTTAATAGAAGGGTGATCGGCAATGGGTCGGCCTTGGAATTCCGATACCGGAATGGAATCAATAAGAAACGATGAGTTACCAAACTTTCTGGGAAAAAGAGACATGTTCATTACCTCATCATCAGAATCTCCCATTCGAAGTGCTCTGTTCTCCTCTGGGGCAGAAGCAACGGTTGATGATCTTTTATGACGAGAAAAGCAACAGCTGCAGCAACCGGAATGATATTCTTTTGATCGTGGAGGGTCAAAACCGTATAAAGCAATCCGACGGAAGAGACATCCTGTTCCGACATAAACCGGGCCTTGAAGCCCATCAAGTGCTCGCATGTTGACATCAAAGAAAACAGTGTTGTGATTGGCATAGCGATCAGATGGGTCGATTCCTTCAAACCTCTGAGGAAACTGGACATAGCAAAGACGGTCTCCACCACGGTCCATCATAAAACACATGCCTTCTCGTAATGCCTCGGAGTTGTAAATGTAGTGATCACAGTCGAGGTTCAGAATAAAGGGTCCATTGGACATGATGGCTGAGGCTCGTACCAAAGCATTCATAGCACCAGCTTTCTTGTTGTGGTCATACCCTGGACGCTTTTCACGAGAAACATAAACTAACATAGGAAGCCGTATATCGACTTCTGTCAGGTCAATAGGATTCGAATCATCTGTTGTGCCTTGTAGTGGTTCATCACTTGGAGGTTTCAACATTACCTGAAATTGTAGAGCCAGCTAATTAGAAACCAATTCATAGTCATCATCATAAACAATTCAAGTTGGGCTTGATGTGTTTTATGTGGCACTAGTTTGAGAAAATAGATATCTCATAGTTGGAAAAAATAATTACCTGAATAATTCCTGCATGATCACCCCTAGAATGCTCAGGAGAAGAAACAACCCAAGTGCCGGGCCAATGGGTTCCATCTGCCATCCAGGTAGCCTTAGGGATCTTTATATTTTCCAGTGGTTCATCATTGCCATTCTCTCTCTGAAGCTTCATAGTCTTGATTTCCTCTCGAGCATTGTACGCATCTGAGCGACGCCGAATTGAATCAGGAAGACCATTAATTCGAACCTTGAACTCATCATACTCGCGCTTCACCCGTCTGCGATCCTTCACAAAGTCAGTTTTCACCTTATTCTTATAAGGATCTCTCTTCAAACTGAAATAACTTTCCGGATTCCTTGGCTCAATATCATGTTTCCGGCAAAATGGGACCCACAAGTTGGCGAAACTTGCAGCTTCAGCCATTGCCTCAAAGGTTAGAAGAGCACCACCGTCATCAGAAACATAACAAGAAAGCTTCTCTACGGGGTAATTGGCCGCTAGAATTGAGAGTATGGTGTTGGCAGTGACAAGAGGTGGTTCTTTCTCGGGGTCTGCAGTGGAAACAAAGATGTCTATGCCAGGAAGGTCTGATTTTCCAGTGGGGTTGAGGGGACCGGGGGTTTCAAACTTTTCTTTTAATACATTAAGATCAGTAGCGCGATTCACAGGGCAGAATTTCGGAAGCTGGTCCAGTAGCCATGAAATTGCAAACCAAACTTCGCAAATTACAGACATTAACCACAACCATGGTGCATCATTATTGGGGTTGCGGATCCTCCATGCAAGAAATAATCCGAGAACAGCTATCCGGACAAATATTAGGAGCCTGTATGCATATGGCAGTAAAATGAAGACTAATTTCAGCATGCCCTTTCACTCGACATTCCCAATTTAAAAACAGACACAAACTTCTCAGTCATCATAATGAATGATATGCCACATTCAAAGGAAGGGGCAAACACAAAACACAATATAGAAATAGACAGTTAAGAATGTAGCAAGCACAATCTTGGAACTTATTCAATATAGCAGCCAAGTAATCAACTTATTGTTATTTGTTAAAAAAAAACACTAAACTGACAGGGATAGCTTGGGAAATTTTGGGTCATGAGAGGAAGATAGAAGCCAAATACATGAAAACCAATTGTTATGCTTCAGATATCAGACAAGGTGACTGAACAAGCCAAATAAACCATGCCAAATAGAAAGCGCAACCACAAATAATAATTTGAGCATCAAAAGATGGTTCAAGGAAGCATGCCCAGTCATCTAGCTAAAGTTATGAACAAGTCAACAAAGAAAAGTAAGCACCACCACATAGCGTGATCAAGTATTTGTATATCAGGAAGCAAAGCAAAAAAATGCACTGTCAACTTGTCAAGTGGGATTCACAACAAAAAGAAATGAATTTTAACATTCAAACAGCATTTCTTAAGAATCTAATAAAACCGTCTAAGTTCCAGAACTATCAATCCTTGCCAATTGTATTATTATCAGAGTTTTTCTTTGATGTAATTGTTTTCTTTTTCTGTTGGTTTCAACGTTCAATCATGAATTGTAACACAAAATGCTAAGATAAGATATCATGGTAATATGATAATATCACAAGGGACACAAAGAAGTCTTATCCAGTCAAATAAGAGACAAATGCACTATTAAATGACTGCTAATTTTTGTATCATTCAAAAAGAATTAGAGAGCAGAGACAATAATCAACATAAGTCATTAACATCTAAAGATTAGAGTAAGTCAACATAAGTCATTAGCATCTAAAGATTAGAGTAAGTGATTATACCGATATGGGCTTATAATCGCAGCAGGTATCTTCAATTTGCGAGTCAGAGGCCTCCAAGGCTTGCTAAGAAATTCTTTAGGCTCACCAATCTCATCACTATTCTCATTCCCAAATCCCCCCTCCTTTGGCCATATTGCATTCCCGTATCCATAAGTAGCATTGGTCTCAAACAACCATCGATTATGATCAAAATCCCCCGTCTGGCTCTTCATCAACCCCGATTTCGTAGATTTCATCAATGACAACCTCCTCTCTATCTTTGACGTCCCCACACTAGGTGGCAGTGGTAGTGGTTGGTTGTTCTCCACCACCTTCTCATCCAAATCTGTGGATTTGTAAGGGTCCTTACACCCCGGGCAAATCCCATCTCCAGTCTTCACAGCATCAGTAAAACAATCCCTACATATCTTGAAATCGCATTCACAAGGGAGGATATCTTCACCCCGCTCATCACTCATCACCTTTCCATCACAACCCGGTATTGCACACGAAGACCCTTTTGCACCGGCCATCTGCGGATGGTTCGTTTCTGAATCAATTACTTTATCCATCAAATGTGCACGAGTAGCACTGTTAAAACCACCTGTAAACAACGAATTCGACACATACTGTTCTTCAACCTTCTGAGAGATTGATGGATCCATGGGTTGATGGTCAGGCGTTGATGGAATGTGCACCGTGTAGTCCATGTATTCACTATTGCCAATTTCGCTATCGAGATCATTCGACTCCCTCGAATAGTTGACATATCGGCCTGAGGAAGTTCTCCTCGCAAAGGTCACAGCCATACGACCTGACTTTCCCTGATGTGATTCTGAAGCTTTGGATGATCTTGAAGCCATGCTATTGAAATGAGCCAAAAAAGACAATATGTCACCAGTTCCTGAAATTATACATTGGAAAGGTAAAAACAGAGAAGCACATCAGCAAAGATTATTCAGTCATAAAATTCTCACAGTTCAAACTAATTCAAATTCAACTCCCTTATCTTTCTGTCTCTATAAATGTATAGAAAGATTTATCTTAACATCATTTTAGATTGTGCATTTCAAATTCAAAACAGAAAAATTTGTACATAAAATTGTGAGGGAAATTTTCTGATAGATCAAAACAACAAAATAAACACAAATCTCTCTCTCTCTCTCAATTATCTCTATACTTGCAATCTTACACAATACAAACAGTTCAAAAGCAACAAAATTTACAGTAAGTACCTATAATCTGGAGATTCAAGAACAACACTACAGTCTACAGGTGATCATCAAACAGTATGTCCAAAACCCAACTTTGCCCAAACCCAAAAACTAGACGAAACCCAAGAAAAGAGCAGATAAGAAAATCCATAGACTTCTTCCTAAATAGCTATCTAGTATATATATGTGAAAAAGAGATCACCATTATTACTCGTTTACCAATTCTCACAAACAATTAATTAATAATAAAAAATTGAAACGGTTTCAAAGAGTCGTGTAAGAAACATTCAAACCAAAGATAATGAAATCAATGGACATTTATGTAAACAACTGTCACAAACCAAAGTTCCCATTTTTTTTCAAGTACCAACTTCAAACCCATGTCGCATTATGATTAAAAATGATGATGTGATCTCCTCAAACTCTCTCTCTCTCTCTCTCTCTCTCTCTCTCTCTCTATGTGCCATTAACAATTCAAAACACAGAGAATGAGTCAGTGACCGAGTACATACAAACCTCAAAGAAGACTCAGCTTAGTTGTCTGGAAACCAAAACGCCTTCAAACAAAATCCACAAACCCACAATAGTTTAAGAGGCTGCCGGCTCTACACCCACAAAATACAGAATATATAAATGCAAAAGAGATTTGATTTTGGGACTTTTGGAAGAGATTCGATTGATTTACCCTTTTTATAAAAATGGAAATTTTATAGAAAGATATATGTTGCCGGCACTGGAATGTGTAATGTATATAGTATAGATGTCTTTGTTTTTGGATTTGGAAAGATTTTCCGACAATTCGAAAATTGGAAGAATGTAAAATGGAAACAGAGAGAGACTAGGGAGTTCTGCTTCTGGTCTTTGTTAGAGAGAGAAAGAGAAAAGAGAGAGAGTATAAAAAGGCGGAAATTTGGGGACTGAAAGGATAATTTCAGGAATTTAGGTGGGGTCGGCGATTGAGCTTCTTGGTGGGTAGTGTAGCGCTACGCGGTGGTAGAGCCGTCTTTGGGCGTGGCAGGAAGATTTATGAAATAACCTCTTGGTTTCAAAAAATTGTGTTCGCTTTCTAAAAAATTAGGGTGTAAGTCCACTCGACGGGTATATTATTAAATTTATAAAATATAAATTTTAATTTTAAATTAAAAATATATATAGAGTTTGTTGCTTAAATGATAAGGATGTCATTTTTTAAACTCAAGATCTTATATTCAAATTCAATAATGCTTGAGACCATTAAAAGTGTTTTTTTTTCTTTTTTTTTTTCTTTCTTTCTTTCTTCCCTGGTTTTGTTACAGAACGAAGAAGAAGAAGAAGAAGAAGATGGGAGAAGAAGAGAAGGGAGGAGGAGGGAGGGGAGGGGGCCATAAAAACCGGTTGGAGGAGGAGGGGAGGCTGGGCAGATGACGGTGGTGCTGCGACGTCGGCGGGGCTGGGCGAGGCGACGGTCTGCTGCGACGATCGGCGACGACCCACGGCGACGAGCCCTCTCCTCTCTCTTTCTCCCTCTCTCCTCCTCTCTGCTTCTCCTCTGCTTCTTCCCTTCCTCCTCTCTTCTCTCCATCTTTCTCCTCTGTTTCCTCTCTTCTCTCCCTCTTTCTTTATTTCGAGCCGTTTCGAGCCTCTAAAAGTCGAGCTACGAGGCATTTTCCCTAAAAAATTAGGGTGTAAGTCCACTCGACGGGTATATTATTAAATTTATAAAATATGAATTTAATTTTAAATTAAAAATATATTAGTGTTTGTTGCTTAAATGATAAGGATGTCATTTTTTAAACTCAAGATCTTATATTCAAATTCAATAATGCTTGAGACCACTAAAAGTGGTGTTCTAAAAGCACCACTAGTGATGTGGCAGTGGACGGGGCCCACTGCTTGTGCCTTGTTTTTATTTTTTATTTTTATTTAAAGTGCTTGCCAACACATTAGTGGTGCCTTAAAGCACCACTTTTAGTGGGATGTATCATTACCGATTCAAATTTTGTGTACTTCACTTTATCATTTTTTTTTTCGTTTTTGATATAAAAAAATTTACTTGACAAAAGGAAAAAGTAATTGTTCACATATATAATAATAGAAATTAAAATTTTTTATTTCTTATATTTTTTTATTTTTAGTTAAAAATTTTAATATTTTAAGATTTTTTTTATTTGGGTAGAATACTAATAAATTTCAAAATATAATCTTATGAACTGTTTAGTTTTTCTTTTTTTTTCTTATGAACCCAAATGTCATATTAAAATGGAAATTACACAAAATGATAGTCACTTACACGTTTGAATTTAATTTTTAAGGGATAAAAGTGAATTTCTCTAAATATGAAATTATACATTTGGACAATCTGTACTATAGAGGTTTTAAATTTTTCCTCATTCTAAAACAAATCTCACGTTATGAACAAAAACGTAACACTCTAATAACAGAGCATTCTAATGTAACACACTAAAAAAAAAATTTAGTATACTTTTTCCAAACGTAACAACATAACACTCCAAAAAAAATTTCAGTGTACTTTTTCCAAATGTAAAAACACATCAAAAAACTTTTTAGTGTACTTTTTCTAAACATAACACTCCATTTAATGTAATCCCAAATATAACACCCTAATGTAACCCATACAAAAACACTAAAAATTTCTTAGTATACATTTCCCAAACATACCACTCACACTTCGAAATTGGCAGTGGCTTTGGTCCAGTCCAAGATCGGACTGGACCGTACTGTTGGGCCCATGGGAGCCCACTACGGGTCTCATTTTGATAATCTGAACCGTTCAATGTGTATAAATCGTCGAGTACTATATGCCTGTCAAAAATCATGTTGATCGGATATCGATAGCTATGTGAACAAAACAGTTTTTTATCAACCGTTAATTTTTTCACCGTCCATTTTTTTATACAAAACTGATTTGATCACATAGCTATTGATATCTAATCAACGTGATTTTTTACAGGCATGTAGTACTCGATGAGTTCTACACATTGAACGGTTCGGATTATCAAAACGGGCCCAAAAAATGGGTCCCATGGACCGAACTAGACGGGTCCAGTCTTAATCTCAACTTGAGACAAGCTGGACCCTTTGAAATTATACATTTGCCTAAAATTTACTAAAGAATTTTTGTACTCCCTTTGAAATAGTGTGAAGAACCCAACATCTTTTTGGAATGGTTTTAAGAATCCCACATACTTTTTTTGAAGTGTTATATTTGAAAAAAATACACAAAGAAATTTTTTTTGTGCATTAAATTGGAATATTACACTAAGAATTTTTTTTGAAATGTTATATTAGAGTGTTATATTTAAAAAAAAATATATACTAAAGAGTTTTTTTGAACTGTTATGTTTGAATGTTACAATTTGAAATTATACATTTGTTCAAAGCATAATAAGGAGTTTTTGTATTTCTTTTGAAATGTTTGAAGAATCCCATATTTCAAATCATTTTTGTATTCATTTTAAAATATTTTCTAAATAAAAAAGATTCCCATATAAAAAATATTCTAAATTTGACTATCATAAATTGTGTATGTATCTTATTTTTCTAGCTACAAAGAAGAAGAAGAAGAAGAAGAAGAATGAAACATAATAGAAATAAGAGTATAATTGTAAATCTAATTTCTACATAATATATTAAATCTACCGTTCCAAAATTGATGGAATTAGTTGGTTTATAAAAAAATTCTTAGGACCAAACAGATTGTCATTTCTCAAGATATTATTTATCGGTAAATTTTCCTTTTTATATTTTAAATACATTTAATCAAGGTAGACTTAAAAATGATAATATTTATGAAATTTTTTTTTAAAAATTCATCAAATACAAAAATATAAAAATTTAATACATTTTTGTATTCTTATGTATTTATTGAATTTTTTAGATATATTTTTTTACAAATATTTTACTTTTTTGGTATATCTAAGTTATGTGTATTTAGAAGGGAAAATTTTACTTACAATATTTAAAATAATTCACTAAAAAAAAAACAAAAAAAAAAACACAAAAATAAGAAAAATTAATTTTAAAAAAATTAATCAAAACCACATAAAAATCAAGCCAAGAGTCTTATTAAAATAACTATCACACTAATTAGCCAGTTAAAATAAATAAAATAACATAAAATTAAGGCCTAGTTTGGAAAGACTAAATAAGTGCACTTTTTGACTTTTTTTGTATTATGTGTAGAAAAAGTAGAGAGGAGATGTTGATTGATGTGACCCAAAAAAGATAAAAAGATGAAATAAGTGCACTTTTCCTTTGTAGCCAAACTTGGCCTAAATATAATAATTCACAAACTTCTTTTAAAAAGGTTCTTTGAAGTTGCTCTCTAGCCCCGTTTGTTTTGGATTATATAGATATGAGGGAATTAGGATGGAGGTGAGATTATTTAATGGTGTTTGTTTATAGAGTTGGAGATGGGATTAGGATGGAGGAAGTGATATAGATGGAGGTTGGAAGGGGGATTGAGATGAAGGAGGTGGATATGGTATTAGAAAAATAGTGAGGGGATTAGAAATTTTTTTATTTTTTTATTTTTTATATATTGGGAATTTTTTTAAAAATATTAATGTTGGATTTTTTATATTTTTTTATGTGTTTTATTATTTTATATAAAAATAATTTAACAATTCCTACACTAACAACTATCATCAAAACAAACACAATTTTACTTAATCCCCTCATTATCAATCCCCTCACTAACAATTCACTCATTATGAATCCCCTCCATCCCCTCACTATTAGGCTATCCTTTATAATTCATTTTTTAAGTATTAGGCTATCCTTTTCATTTTATGTTTTCAAAAAACACAGAAATAAAAATTCCTGTTAACCATAACCCATTTAAAGCAAGTTCAATATTTTCATTAATTTTTCTTGTGTGCACAACTTAAAAGATTGAGAGTTTTAATTTTAAACATTTAAAGAGAGTTCAGTAATATGGTAAGAAGAATGATTTACATGTGATGTGATGTGATATATGTGTCTATGTTTTTTTTTTTCTTACCACATCATTAGACCTCTCTTTAGAATTTTAAAATTAGAACTCCCTATCATTATTATTTTATTAATTTTCAACTTGAAAGAAAAGACCAAACTTAAACTAGATTTAAATATATGGATCAAGCTATTCAATTTCAAATGAGGACCAAAATAAAATTTGGGTAAAATTGTAAGAATTAAAAATATTAATGGTAAGTCCAATCTTTTGTCAAAAATAGGAAACACAAACTTTGTGTCAAATATCGCACAAACTTGGTGATCAATTAATTATTTACTATTTGATCAATTTATTTTTGGAAAAATTAGTGAAGCATCCCTCTCTAACTTTAGATTGTAAGAGATGTCTTGTATGTTTTTTTTATTAGTTAAGATCCCTCGATTAAATTTATCTATCATCATACTAGAGAAATTTCAA